TTATTATGTGTTTCCTACAACAACCATTGAGAATAGTTAATGATTTTTCAATAGGTCACTCATGTATAGCTCTATTTATTCTCTTTAGAAGTCACTTTGAAGATACCAAAGTATAGTACAACAACTCTTGATAATTTCCTACCTCTTTTGTCTCTAACTCACTATTATTTGTCTATTCGTTTTCCTGAGAAACTATTTTGTAGATAACAATATGTAAAACAACAACCATTGATAATTTCCTAAAAAAAAATAAATAAATAAAAGAAATCCCCTGTGGCACACCCTCCTGCAGGAACTCAGATTCTTGCCTTTGTGGGAAAGCCCTTCCTATCTGGCTATGCAAGAAGGAAGAGACTAGGGTGCTCAGGTGCTACTCACAGAGTCCACAGAGAGCCCCACCTACACTTGTGCTTTCACAGGTGTCTGCATGCTCCAGTTTCCCAGTTTGCTTCGAGTTCCGAGGAGACAGTTTGTGGCTACCGCTCTGCTCGGTCTGTTGCCATGTGTCTGTCCGCCTTGGGTGCCAAAACATGGCTGAAAGCTCCCCAGCCCATTTCTATCCGGTTCTCTTTGGTTTTGTGGGTTAATTCCTCTCACAGTCCTTACATCACTATGGTGGCATCTGGGCAGAGTGCAGATGAATACGTCCATTCTCACTACTGTATTTTACTGAAGCTCTGATGCTCAGCTTTTAAAATGATTTTGGTTAATCAAGAGGTAAACAACATGAGACAGATATCAGGAATAGGGGGAAAAAGGACCAAGGAAATTTTAAAAAGTTTTATAGTCTATCCTCCTTAGTTTCTCAGAAGGCTCAAGCCCTGTAACTATTTCCCATTGACTGCTTAACCTTAGGTGAGTTACTTGGCATCTCCCCACTTAAGTTTCTGACATCCCCTGCCTTGCAGGGCCGTGTGAAATTGTTTTGGTTAATGATAGTTCCATCATATGGTCATAAAAGAGTTGAAAATTGCTATCGCCTAGGAACAATGCTGTAGTGCAGCGCATTTGTGGCAATGCTGGAATAAACAAACCTACTGCAGGGCTAGTGAGATGAAAGTCTAATGTGTAGTTTTACATAGCAGGAGTCCCCAACCTCCAGGCCACAGATCCCTGGAGGGGTCCTTGAACTATTAGGAACCAGATGGCACAACAGGAGTGAGTGGTGGATGGGCAAGCAAGCGCAGCTTCATCTGCAGTTACGGCTGATCCCCATCGCTCTCAACGCCTGAGATCCACTCTTACCAGATCAGCAGCGGCACCAGATTCCTATAGGCAGGTGAGCCTTGCTATAAACTGAGCATGTGAGGGATGTAGGTTGTATGGTCTTTTGAATCATTCTGAAACCATCCCCCAACCCATGGAACAATGGCCAAAGTTCCAACATACAGTACCAGATTCTTGGATATGAGATAATGATAACAAATGACTATATTGCTGGTTTGGGTACGTACTAAAGTTTTATGGTTATTTTTATAAAAAACAGTTTAATGCAAACTGCCCTGTCCCTCCAGCAGCAGCCTCACCCCTCATGTGCTCAGTGCATCTCGCGGGTACACCACGAGGCCCCGGTGAGACTGACTGGAGCGTCCTGGTTTATGTAAGTGTGTCTATCACACCCCCACGAGGAAATCACCAGCAACGGACTCCTCAGCGTGTACCCCCCCGGCTGAGTGACACAGGACTGCACTTCCCAAAGGCGAGCCGAAGAGTGCAGAGCCGCTGGGTGTGGGGAAGAAAGGGCGATCTTTCTTCTTGACACCACCATTTGGGAGGTCAGGGGACACCCACAGGGACATCTGCTGAGAGTGAGAGCTGCTTTTATTCAGTAAACGTTCACTGGGGCACCTTTAGGGCAGAGGGTCCCGAGCCAAGTAGGCAATAGGCAGTGAAGACCCGAATAAGGAGACGGTATCCTCACACTGGGAGGCAGAATGAGACCCAAGAGACAGGGCTGCCGTTTGGAAGAGAAGAGAAAAGCCGGCGAGCTCACCAGCCCGGGGCACAGAGGCCCAGAGTTCGCATTTACCTTTTTTGGTCTTACAGGGTCCGCATTCAGGGTGAATCTCTTGCAAGGGAAGGGATATCACCTTGGCCAGCCCGGCGTTCAGCATGTACTGGTACAGGCGCTTAAACGTCCGCTCACACAGCCCCTGGCAAAACACAACACGAGGCTACGACTGAGCAAGGCGCTGGAACCCACTGAGGAGCCAGGTAAACACACATGAGCTCAGGACCTGAATCAACTGACTGTCTTCCATGAGGAGACGCTGCAGGTACTAATGAGGAAAGGCTGCCAAGCTACGTTGCCAAGGAAACAAAACAAGGCTGAGAGCAGTAAAGAAATGATTCCACATTTTGATTACAGGAGGGGAGAAGAGATTTGCTTAAAGAGATCCTGAGGGTAGGAATAAGGCAGGCAAGAGACGAGCAGGAGGAGGCTTTTCATATTGCTTTGAATTTTTTAGCCAATTTTAATAAACACGTGCACGCGCGCACCTCGATTAGTGGAACAAACAAGAAAAACTCAGATGAAAAAAATTTTGCCAGGCACAGAGGTACACACCTGTAATCCCAGCACTCTAGAAAGCTGAGGCAGAAGGATTACAAGTTTGAGCCCAGCCTGGGCAACTTAGCAACTTAGCAAGACCCTGTCTCAGACAACAGGAAAAAAAAAAAGGAGGCTGAGAACATAGCTCAGTGCAAAAGTCCTGGGTACACTGGCCAGTCCTACAAAAAAAAATTTAATAAAATAGCTAAAATGTGGTCCAAAGTGAAGAGTACACCCACCCTATAACTCATGCTTCTGAAGGCCGACACAACACAAAGGTCCTACGCATTTCCTTGCTGCAGGGGTTACTAACAGGCAGCCTCCCATACGGGTCATGCCTTTTAATCTACATAATGTTTTTTTAAAAAGCAATTTATTTGCCAACACTGAAAAGTGACAGCTTTCATACTTACAACAAAACTAGACTTGCTTCTCTTGAAAAGCTACGAGCTGGCATACAATGCTAAGAATGCAGCTCCTTGGCTGGGCATGGTGGTGCATGCCTATAATCCCAGCACTTGGGAGGCTGAAGCAGGAGGAATGCTGAGAGTTCAAGGCCAGCCTGTGCTACATAATGAGTTTAAGGCCATATGGCCAAGGCAAATATGCCAGCTTGTATACGGCATCCAGCGTTCATCTAGCACATTGTAGGAAGACCCCATGGAAACTTGTCCACCAAACCCCAACCCTCGGAGCCAGGGATGTAGCTCAGCAGTACACTGCCTACTTGGTAAGTACAAGGTCCTGAGTTCAATTTCCGGTACAAAACAAAACAAACAAACAAAAAACACCACAACCCTCAGCAGGTCTACATCCTAAGCAAGAGAGGATGGTGCAGACCCGCCTTGGGGCACGGGGGACTGCCATCCAGACTTGCATAGTCCTCCACGCAAAAAGAAGCAGTAGAGCCAGGCGTGGTGGCGCAGGCCTGTAATCCAGCACTCGGGAGGCTGAGGCAGAAGGATCATCACAAGTCTGAGGCCAGTCTGGGCTTCAAAGTGAGTTCAAAGTTGGCGTGAACTACATAGTGAGACCCTGTCTCAAAGAAAAGGGAGCAGCAGCAGTGCTCTCCCCAGCCCTAAAAAGATGCCTTCTGTATTCAGGGCATCTACCTCGTCTACAAGCCAATTAGTCTGCTCTCTGTGACCCCTACTGCTAGATGCTGATTACACATCCCCAGGGGAACATACCAGGAGATTTTCACACTTCATACATCTAAAATCAGGTATGCCATATGCCTCCCCACATCCAAAATTCTTGTTCTTTCTGCACTGTTTTTTGTATTTTTTTTGGAGACAGGGTCTTGCTATGTAGTACAGGCTGACCTCCAACTCACAGCAATCCTCCTGCCTCAGCCTGCCGAGTGCTGGGGTTACAGGTGTGCACTATCAAGCCATGCCCCTCTGCAATTTATTCGAACATTCACAACTGCAAAACTACTGTGGGCCAGGCACCATCTGCCTAGCGGGGTCCAGTATGAGCAGACAGACAGGGTCCCTGCCCTTTCAGAGCTTGTCCGTGCTCCAGGTTACCTCAGCGAGCAGCAGCCACTCAACCGAAAATCATGAGCTCACCTTAGGATGGTTCCTCATTCCCCTCTAATCCCACCTCAGCTACTCCCTGAGTCCGGATAGCTTCACCTCCAAAATGCTTCTCAAGTAACTCAAGCTCTTGTGGCTAACCACCAGCCAAGCCAAGAGCAGCACTTTGCTGCCCACTCCAGCACCGCCCCAGCAGCTCGTCCTCCAGAGAATATCTCTCTCTGGGGTGCTGCTCCATGCACGTACCATACTCCCTCGGCAGTTCTCACGGTGAAGCTCCGGGGCTCAGGTCCCACCTACCTAGCCTGGCACTTGGGAACTTCCTGATCTGGCCCCAACTTCCTTTTCCACCATACCTCCAGCACCTGCCCAGGGCCAGGCATGGTGATGCACCCCTGTAATCTCAGTACTCGGGAAGCTGAGACAGGAGGATCACTGTGAGTTCAAGGCCAGCCTGTACTATAGCAAGATCCTGTCTCAAAACAAAACAAACCAAGCATGCAGGCCTTTCTCTCATTTAGTAGGATCTTCTGAAAGGTCTTCTCAGTCCACATTTTATTTTCCACTTTTGATAGAGCCTCGCATCCTGAGAAACTCTCTCCTACCCCGAACAGCAGGACACACGGGGTAACAAGTGAATCTCAGCCACAGCGTCTGAGAGGCGGCAGCACGTGGGAGGCTGGGGATTGCTGGCCAGGCATAACTAGCTCGCCACTGTCAGAAGCGACTGCAGGCCCGGGCTTGCTGGCATCTCTGACTTTTCAAGGGAAGCTGGAGGCCTAGCTTTCTTTATGAAATCTCAACTTTTTAAAGAAGCCAGATCAAATTTATTTTTAATAAGCCCAGTCTCACCCACAAGTCTCCAGTCTGTAACCTCTGTTTTGGGAGAGACTGGGCATTTAAGAATCTACCAATAGCAAAGATACTCTCTCCCCGTGAGAGCAATAAAATCAGAAACTACAGCTCCAGTAATGCAGCACCCAGTGACATGTAAGGAGGGTCCTGGTGTCTAGAATCAAGCTACAGACCAGCAGTGGTGACCGTATGGCGAACATGCCACAGCCAACCGCTAGTTATCACTGAAAGCTCTAAAAGGTTTGCCATCACTGCTCTGGACCATGTTCCTCTGGGGACTGATTACTAGGACTCAAGAAAACTGACTTCAAGTGTGGTAGCGCACGCCCGTAATCCCAGCACTCAGAAGACTGAGGCAGGAGGATCTGACAAGTCCAAGGCCTGCCCGGGTTACATACTGAGTTCAAGGCCAGCCTGAACTATCTAGTGAGATCCTGTCTCACCAAATAAGTAAGTAAATGAATAGAAACAAAAAACCTGGTTTTCACTCTATGTCCTCTCTCTTCCTCCACAGCACAGCCACGCTGTCATTTCAGCATAACATCACTGGGAAGAAAATTACAAGTTTCATGATGGAAGGAAATCTAAATGCTGAGATTTGGCCTTCCACATGAAGCATGACAGCAAGTCACAGAGCAAACCCGGGGGTAAAGGAGGTCAGCCCAGAAGTAAATGGAAAGCCTGAGCACTTCCTCATTGTGTGCAATAAAGGAAAATTCCACTTGTTCAAGCCCACAGCAGGCTTTGGGTGGCAATTCCCTAATCTGTATGTGACAAAGGCCTCCCAACCGTGTGCGTGGACCAAAGCCAGCCCAGCACCCAGGATGGCCTCCCACACTCACCAGCTCCTCCCGCAGCTTGCCCAGGGTCTCGGTTCGGTTACTGCGGGTGCTCAGCATCCCCGAAAGCTTCTCCATGAGGATGTCGTACTTGCTCCTCCTGCAAGAGACACCAGCCGGGTCGTTCTGCTAAGCACCACCTACTGCAAAGCACCGCCTGCTTTTCAAACATGGCAAAGCAAGGCTGAAATAACAACACAGCCAACCAGAGAAGCTTCGTCTTAGGTCTCAAGGATCATCCCGCCCAACTCCCACATTTTACAGATGGAAAGACTGGCTGACAGCTGTTGGGTCACATGTCCAAGGTCACCTAATAAGTGACAGTGCACCAACTAGATTCTACAATATTAATGAAGTGATTCCCTAAGTACCTTACATTTTTATAGTACTTCAATGTTCAGGAAACATCTTACAGATTTCCTTAGAAATCACTTGGGAGGGGCTGGGGATTTAGCTCAGCGGCAAAGCGCCTGCCTGGCAAGTGCAAGGTCGTGAGTTCGGTTCCCGGTACAGGAAAAAAAAAAAAAAAAAAAAAAAGAAATCACTTGGGAAGAAGAGTGGGGATTATCCCACCTGCCATCTCATGTCTATTATGAAGTCAATGTCATGGCAAACACTTCCAAGCTAACAGCCAGCATGGTGTGTTCATGGTGGCGTGTGCCTAGAGAAGGCGGGGGAGGGGGTGCTGCAGGGAGGTACCCGGCTGCCAGTTCAGTTGGACAAAAACAGCTTGGCCTGGGTCGCAGTCTGAGAAAGGAAAGCATGTATACGGGGTTCACAGACTAGACCCTCTTCTCCATGTGTACGTCTCTTAGTGAATGAGAATCAGCGAAGGGCAGGTGTGTACTGCACACTAACTACTATGTATATGAAAGCATTGTGTGTTCACCCAAGAGGAAACAGTGGTTCAAGAGGCCAAGTGTCTTTGCCCAGGTAAGGGGCAAAGATGGATACACAGATCTCCACTTAGTTCATGTTCTTTCTCCTACCCTATGCCTGTCACTCTCAGTTCTCTACAGATCATAAACCATGCCAGTTGTGAGTCTAGTGAAATAGTTACTTAACTAACAGATCTCATGATTAATTAAAATGTGAATCACCAATATTGTACTCTGCAACAAACCAGAAGATAGATTAGAAACTTACAGTGTTTTAACTGTGTACATGTTTGAAGGCTAATCAGAATCAACAGGCCACCCAACAGGACAGATATGACTTTCACTCCTGGAGATCCACAGCCAACAGTTCACACATACATATCGAGTGGGTGCGATAAACTTTGACCCTTACACTTAATCCTGGGCTTGCTCCCCTCCTTTCTGAGGGTATTTCTGGCTCCTGGAGTAAAGACCAAGGAACTCTGTTGACTGCCCAGAGGAGAACCAGTCATTCTCCATGGTCCAGGGAAGGTCAGTCTGCTGGCCCACGTCCCAATTATCCCTCAGTACCACTCAGCTTCACTTTGGGGTGCCGGGAGCCAGGAGCTTGGAGCTCACTCACCTGAGAGCACTCAGGGCCCACACCAGCTTGACCGTTCCCCACCCCAGCTTCTACCCCTCCCACACAGGGTGCAGTTGAGGGATTTAGGTTGAACTCTGCAGAGTGGTAAAATATTTCTTTTCCCATGTACAGTACTCAGTCAGCCCAACTGCAAGGATTAAAGGGCCAGAGAAAATCAACTCACTCTGAGACTCCTTGGTCCTCAGAAGGGAATGTGCATGTTTTGTCAGCTTGCTGACAAGTATGTTGGACTATGATACCCAGCTAGAATAGCAACACCATGCACTGTAATCATTTAGTGGGATCTCACCATTGCATCCATGAGTTGATTATGGCTGCATGCTTCAAAAATGCCCAATATGAAACTGACATAATTCAATCATAGCTTTGTCACCTAACCAATCAAGCTTACTTTTATTTTTACATATTTATATATTTGTATTTTTATTTTTATGTCTCTGGCCCTGAATTTCAACAGAATGTTAATAGTTTCTACCATTGAGCAGTGGAGTTACAGGTACTTTTTTTCTCTCCATTTTTCTGTATAATTTCCATGTTTTCTAAATGAGCAGGACAAATCTGCATCAGAAATATATCTTTTTTTAAAAGATAGTCATGTTCTGACTGGGCCTTAAAATTTTTAAAAGCATACTATGTAATAAAGAAATAAATAAAATAAAAGCATAATATGCATGCCTGCAATATAAAAATAAGCAAATTTTTGTTCTCTACAAACCATACCTGTCCACGTGGAACCGGTTCAGAAGCAGGAGGATTGAGTGCTGCTGAGCTCCGGTGGGTAATCGGATGACATGCGACTGCATCGTAATGAGCCCATTTTTGTTCAGAATTTTCCTGTGGTAATGAAGCTTCCCAGCATCAACCCTGTGGCACAAGACGGTGGGCTGTATCATTTTGCCTATTGGTAGCTTTACTCTCACAATGTACAGGTTTTTCACTTGGACATAAACACCACAGACACCCCCCCATACACACACATCCAGCCGACCGAAGAAGACAGTCACCGTGAGACCATGACCTTCAGACAGAAAGCTATGCATTTGGGGTGCAGGGCACAAACGCCAGTGAGCCCCATTACTGAAAGGGGAAAAACAAACCCTCTCATACTTGAAAGCAGTGCTGTGAAGGTCTCGCTGCAGCTCCCCTTGCCATCTGGACCGGCCTAGCCGCTCCAGGATACAGTAGGAGAAGTCGGGGAGCTTCAGGTCAGGGTCCCCTTCTGCGCCTATCAGGGCCCGATAGCGCATGTCTTGGGAGGCAACAATTATCAGCTTCTTGCCCCACCTGCAAGGCAGAAACAAGCATAAGCGGACACACATTCAACTGACTATAAAAAATCCGCAACATGAAAAAGTAGAAGCTTACAGAATCAGCACTTTCAGCTTCTCCTGAGAAGTTTGCCATAACTCCAAATTCACCCAGGCAAGTTTTCAGAGTCTTAGCATGACACAGGGCGCAGGATGAAGAGAGTCAGTCTAACTTCCTCACTTAAAACCCTCCCAGGACTTGCTGTGCAGGCCAAACCCAGGCTCCTCACCATGGCCCGGAGGCCCTCCGTGAGGGGGTCCTCCCTGTGAGCGCTGTCTTCTTCCTAAAACAAGCTATTTCCTCTGCCTGGCTGCTTTCCTCCCGGGCCTGACGCTTTCTCATCCTTCGGTCACAGCTGAGCTGGGACCCTAACCCTCCCCTACAGTCTTCACAGCTTAGCACTCTCAGAAACAACTTCTTTTTATGACATTCTTCTCTGCCTCCCTTACTCAGACACCAGTGCCATGGAGCAGGCAACCTGTCTATGGATTCACCAGGACAACCTTAGTCTAGCATGAGTGCACGCAACAGGACAGCGGTGTGGTAAACCGAAGGCTCGCTTGCCAAGCAGGCTCTGTTATCACTGAAAGCTCTAAGAGCTCTACCATTGTGGCGGGACCTCCACATGCACTTGTTCGGTGAATGACCCAGCCGGGTGAACTGGGCCTACAGAAAACAAACTTCAGGATCAAAAGCTCTGAACTCTGATTTTTCGCTTCACTGCTGAAAACCAGACCTTGAACATACCATTAGTTCCCCAAATGACTTGATATGTGAAACATAATGCCCCAAACAGGCCCCAAAACAATTGTAAGCAAGACACTTCAAGACACCACAAGTGAGAAGACTAATTTCCAGAGGCTGTGTCTTAGTGCGCATTTTCCACTGTTTACAGTTAAGATGCCACGCTGCTTTGCCAACAAAATTAAACCAATGTTATGCGCAAAATGGCTCATTCCTTTCACACTGTCTTGGGGCTCCCGCCCTGGCCCCACATGAGAGATGCCAGGAATGCACTGGTACAGATCCCAGCCCTCACACCATGCTTGCTTCACGTTATCCAGCTGGAGGACAAGGCGTCACCATGGGGTAGAGAGAGGAGCACAGAGCACACCTGGGACCACGGCCACTCTCTCTGCCTTGTTGTTTACGGATAACTGGTCATGAGGGTCCCTGCAGTCAGCTCAGTCTAGCAGTTTTCCCTGCTCCTGACACACACCAAATGAGTTCACTTCTACCTCCAAGTAGCGAAAAGAAAGAAGAGGGATGGCTAGTAAGAGAGGACATGGTACCAAAAGAAAGGTCAGTTATGCCACCTACTTGAAGACTGAGGTGGGAGAATGGCAAGTTTGAATCCAGCCTGGGCCATTTAGCAGGACTGTGTCTCAAAATAAAAAACAAAAAGGGGCTGGGGATGCAGTTCCATGGTGGGGTGCTCTTGCGGTCAACCTCCAGTATTGAAGAGAGGAGAAAGAGAGAGATAAGATAGTTCTGCTGGGGCTGGGGATGTAGCGCAGCTGCATAAGCGCCTGCCTGGCAAGTGCAAGGTCCTGAGATAGATTCCCGGTACCAAAAAAAGAAAGAGAGTTCTGTTGGATGGTGAGCCACACCCACATGCGAAGGAGAAAGCACCAATGGGCAGGCAGAAGCAAAGACCCAGGAGACAGACAGGCTGAGGGACACAGAGGCAGCAAGCAGCATGAGGTACAGGGAGCTCAACTCAGGGGAGAAAGGAAGGAAGAGAAGCATCCAGACCACAGCCCCGGTGGGGCCACCCAACTCAGAGAGGCGCAGGACACGTGGAAAAGGCTGCAAGGAGAGAAAGCAGGGGGATGTCACGGGGCAACTTCTCCCATCCAGCCTGAGCAGTAGAAAGGGGCTGAGAATAGGGTTGGGTGGTTGAGAGAAATGACCACTGGGACTGGCCACCTGGGAAAATGGGACCCTGCCTGAGACTCATCAAGGCCCAGCCGGGCAGAACAGTGCCCTACTAGGAGGAGAGGGCCAAAGGTGCCATACGAACGCTGGCTAGCACTGCGGACACAAAGGAAAGGGAAAGACAAGACCTCAATTTCAACCAGCCTCAGAGCAGCGGAGTGCAGAAGGCCCAACTCTGGCTCAGCGCTTGGTGCAGGGCTGGTGAACTCAGACATCCCCTCAGGCTGCGCCCTACACTCCTTCAGCTCTGGCCACACCCCTCAACTCAGAGCCCTCATTCCTGGGCCTTTCTGAGGGTACAAATCAGTTACCTGTCAAATGCTTCCATCATGGTACAGCGAGGCTGCAAAGACTTGGTCCTGATGTTATTGGTAATGTTCTTCCTCTCCTTGAAGTACTGGCACGAGCCCTGGATGCCGTCCTTATTCTCTAGGATCATATGAATAGGGTAGACATCCTCCAAAGGGACCGGATCCCTCCGGGACTCCAAAATTCCAGTTTCCAAATCAATTTCTTCATACCTGAAGGGAAAAGCACAAATACCAAAACTCAGCTCAGCTCCGGAAATAATGCACACCTGCCGTACTTGGGTGGTTTTTTTTGTTTGTTTGTTTGTTTTTTTCCCAACCTCCAGCAGAGATCAGAGAGGAGAGGAGCTCGCTCAGCCTTCCTGCCCCACAAATGCAGACGGTCTTGACAAACAGGTTCCTGCCTTTCTGTCCCACACAACACAGACCTTTCCAGGATCCCCCGCACTACCCTGTACGCTGCAGAAGCTGTGTCAATCAAAATCTCCTGACCTGCAAAAAGTTACAGCTTTTGGTCTCCTTCCAAACCTGGCACCTAATCTTTAGACCACCAAGTTTGGGCTGAATGATTCCTATCCTCATTTCATTTGTCACTTTTCCATCTTTCTTTAGTTATTTCTCTAGCTAGCTCTCATCCGTTTTTATGGTTTTATCACTTGCAGGCTAACAATTCTCACCTTTGACCCTCAGTCATGCCCTTTCCCACCAAGCGCCAATGTAATGTTTTCAACTGTCTACCAGACCTTTTAAATTGCGTAAGACCAAACAGTGTGACTGCCTCTCATCAACAATTAGACATTCTGGACTTAAATTTCTTCCTTTATCCAGTCAACCACATCTGTCAAGTTTTCCTTTGGATCCTGGTCCACATCCTGCATGAGACTAGTTGAAGCTAAATCCCATGTATGCTTTTCTCTCCCTTGCCCTTCTGGAACCTCCAACTTTTTAACATTCTATTTTGCAATCATGTCTGTCTTCTCCCCAGCTTCCAGGGCACCATTCTGGCCTCAGTCTTCTGTCTCTCCGGCCACACTTTCCTAGTCTGGTTTTGAAGTTTCTGTAGCCTCCACCCAAACTTGAAAGGTAGGCGCAGCCCAATGCTGTGTCTGAGAGCCTCCGATCGTGATGGCTTCTCACCTAGGGATGATTGTATTTGCCAACAGCTTTTATTATCATCGACACAGGATGACTCAGAGGTCTAACCCAGCCCCTCCCTCTGGCCTGCTTTCACTCCCAGAAGCCAAATGTTTACTAACAGAACCTTTGCACGGACAACCCCAGGAACCTCCAACTCAGTGCATCTCGAAGCACATTCAGCATTTCCTCCCTCTGTCAGATTCCATCACATACTGTTCTGTATTCCCTACCTCAGGCAAGGGGGTGGACATTCACTCAGCTGCCCCAATAGGGAGGGTGGGTTGGGAGGTGATTCCTACCTTTCCCTACATCCCACATCCACTCAAGTCTACAAATTCTTTCTCTTCTGCCTCACATGCCTTGGTTCCATCTTCTCCCCTTCATTCCCACACCCCCAGCGACAAACCAGTCTACCACTGGTCATCTGTGATGAGATTACTGCATGTCTCTCAGCTTCCCTCTGCCTTTAGTCTGATCCTCCTTTCAGTGGCTTCCTACTGTCTTTTGGATAAAGGAAAAACTTTAAGTGGATTAAATGAGAGTTCATTAATTTGGCTCAGGGCAGAGTAGGCATACAAAGAGTTCCCTGGATTCAAATTCTTTTTTTTTTTTTTTTTTTATTCTTTTTTTTTTTTTTTTTTTGCCTTTTTGAGATAAGGTCTTGCTATGCAGTTCAGGCTGGCCTCGAGCTCACTTTATATCCCAGGCTGGCTGGCCTCCAACTGCAAGGATTCTCCTGCCCCAGCCTCCTCAGTGCTGGGATTACAGGCGTGCGCCACCACACTTGGCTTGGATTCAAATTCTGTAATCTGTTCCTGCTAGTCTGACCTTGAAGAATTCACTTACACTGTTAATTTTCTCTTCAGGAAAGTGAGGATAACAAAACCTTCCTCCCCAGTTGGGATAAAAAAAAAAAACTAAACAACTTGCTACATCTAAACGTCCTAGAATAGTCCCAGATCATAATGAACATAAAGTGTCAACTGTTAGTCCTCATTCTCTACTTACAGTTCTATGCTTTGACCAAACTTAAATGTATGTCTCTTCCATCCGGCTTTCACATTTGCCATTCTCGGTTGAGACTATTCTGCCAATTGGAGGCCTAAATGCAACCTTAAGCCTTGTCTTAGCCGTGATTATCTCTGGGAACCTCCCCAGGACCCCACAATGTGGCTTACCATGACAGATTCTGGAAACAGACCCCTGGGTTCAAATCAATACTTACTTCCCACCCCAGCACCTTGGGCAGACTTAACCTCTAACCTTAACCGTGACTCAGTTTCCTCCTTTATATATTTGGAAGACAACAGCACCTACGTCACAGGGTCACTGTGAGGATCACTTCAGTTCAATCCCGATGCTCTCAAGATCTCAGAATGGCACCCAGTTCATAGTAAGCCCCCCATACACATAAGCTATTAGCATTACTGCTAAGCTCGCTGCTACACTGATAACGAGTTGCTCTAGCTCTCCAGTCTGACGCCAAATGAATGTCCCATAAAGGTTTGTGGAACTCAGCTGTCCCCAGGCTCGATCTGAACTGCCCCCTACTCCGAGCCGATCCTCCACTTCCGAGGCAATACTCTTTGAAACCCGAAGAATATCACCCCCGTCCCAGTTCTGCTCACCTTCAAGCACACACAGACATAAAAGGCCCCCCCCAACTTCACAGACCCTGGGCCCTGCAGGACCCGAAGGACCCCACGTTAACCTTCCCATCGCGCTCGCGCCCCCTCCCCCATCAGATCGCCCGCCCTTCTTCGGCTTCCCCCCTTTCTCGCGCCCTCCCTGCTCCGTGAGACCCCGGGCCGCGGGCCTGGCCGCTGACCGGTCCTGCAGCTGGAGGTCGGGGCGCTCCCGAGGCTCCTCATAGAAGCTGATGCCCGGATGCGTGGCAAGAGCCCGCCACAAAAACTCCTGCGTGTAGGGCTCCAACAGCAGCGGGAAGGGAGGCACTCGGGACTCCAGACGGCTCCACAGAGCGGGCAAACACAAGCCATCAAGCCCCTCCAGGGCCACTTCGTCCAACAACGACTCCAGCGCGTCCATTGCTTCTACAGTTAGCAGCGCCCGGGGCGCCTGCGCACTATGCCGCACAAGGGCCCTCGTCCAGCGCGCCTGCGCACAGCGAACGGCGGCCCAAGGAGGCGGGTCGTACCCCGCGGTCGGGACGCTCCAGCGCGCCGACGTGACGTCACTCCCCTGGGGGCGGGCTCAGCGAATGGAGGTCTACCGCCATTGGTCCGGAACCCTGCAGTAACCAGGGGAACTGCAAACAGTGCAGGGGAAGCTTCCTGTTCGAGCAACCGGAACCACCGCCTCTAGGTATGGATGGTGAGTGTCTGTGGGCCCCTCCGGGAGGGCGGGCGGTTGGTCCCTCGTCGCTCCTGAGTCTTCTCCAGGGGGAGTACCAGGTCGTACACCCTCTGATCACCACTGCCTGTCCCAAGGTGGTCACCAACCTGAGGGAAGAAGAGGCCGAGCGATCCGGGTTGGGGAGGAGAGGAAGGGGGAACGGTCAGTGATTCTCCACGGTTCAAGCTGTGGTCGTGTGAGACTCGTGCTGGCGAGGGGCTTGATGAGGGAATGGCGAGGTAGAGATCTGAGGAGGATCTTGCGCGTCTGGGGTGGTGGAACTGTAGGATCGGGGAGCTGGTGTGGAGCGGAGCGTGATCCTGGGAGTGCATTCGTCAGTTGCTGGAAAGGTGGACCTGGGGAGACTCCCTCGCTTTACTTTGGTGTTAATAAGAGCCCACATTAACAGTATTGCTCGCTGTCACGAACTCTTCACGGGCGCTCAGGCAAGCTTCATAACTGTCATTTGAAGTCAGTGTTTACCCCATTCTACAGATGAAACTGAGGCTAAGAGACGTTAGCTTGTCCAGATCGGACAACCAGCAAGCGGCAGGAAGAGTGAGGGGCCCAGAGACTGTCTCTGGAGCTGAGTTACGGAGTTTGGGATTAGAACGGTTCTCAGGGTCCGTTTATCCCAGAGCTTGGCAGTGCCGATGTCTGCAGGGGCCGACTGAGTGGGCTGGATTAGGGCTTTGATTAGAAATCCGCCCCCCCGGGGCTGGGGATTTAGCTCAGTGGCAAAAGCGCCTGCCTGGCAAGCGCAAGGTCGTGAGTTCGGTTCCCAGTACCGGAGAAAAAAACCAAAAAAAAAAAACCAAAAAAACAAAAGAAATCCGCCCCCCACTTGAGGTAGAAGCTGCTCGCTCAGCTCCTACCAATTGCTTCGTGGGACACTTCTCAGAAGATCATGACAGCCAATCATTCTGAAGGCCAGGGCCGGGCTGTGGGGTCATCACGTCGGAATTCACTTTGCAGATGGAAAGGCCAAAGCAAGGAATACTGGTCAGTCTGTGCTAAAGTTCAGGTCATTGTTCTTACAGCACTATCGCACACTTCCGGGGAACTGCCTTCCGTGGAAAGAAAAAGTTGTTGGTTTTTGTTTGTTTGGTGGGCTTTAAATTTTTTTTGACAGAGTCTCACTCACTATATGTCCAGACTGGTCTTGAACTCACAGCGTACCCCAGACGGCTTAAAACTCACAGTCCTCCTGCCTCAGCCTTTTACATGCTGGGATTACAGGCATACACAACCACACAGCTGAAAAATGTTTTTAGTTAAACTTTCTATCATATGCTTAAAAGGTACCTTTGCCTTTTGAACTTTTGAGGTAATATAAAAATGCCTTTTACTGGTACCCTGTGGAAAAGTCAGTATAATGTTGCTATACAATACTTCTCAAACCTTTGAGGCCTTCAGACAGCTTTATGCTCTTCCTGCAAAAGAGTTTGTGTGTATAGTATCTATGGTATTTATCATATTAGAGATTAAAACTAAGCTGGGTGTGGTGGTACATGCTTTTAATTGCAGCACTCAGGAGGCTGAGGCAGGAGGATTGCTGTGAGTTTGAGGGCAGCCTGGGCTACAGAGTGAATTTGAGACAAGCCTGAACAATGAGACCGTGTCAAAATAAATGACAGCGCCAGGCATGGTGGCACACACCTGTAATCCCAGCACTCGGGAAGCTGAGACAGGAGGATTGTTGCGAGTTCAAGGCCAGCCTGAACTGCATAGCGAGACCCTGTCTCAAAAAGACAGCTGGGCACAGTACACATGCCTGTAATCTGAGTACTCCTTGGAGGCTGAATTAGGAGGATCACCAAAAGTTCAAGGCCAGTGTAGGCTACAAAGGGAGTTCATGGATTACCTAGTGAGACCTGAATTACCTAGTGAGACCCTGTCTCAAAAAAACAGCAGCTGGGCGTGGTGGCACACACCTGTAATCCTAGCACTCTGGAGGCTGAGGCAGGAGGATTGCTGCGAGTGTGAGGCCAGCCTGGGCTACAAAGTGAGTTCAGGGCCAGCCTGAACCACATAGCAAAACCCTGTCTCAAAAAAAAAAAAAAAAATCTTATAATGTATCAGTTTATTTTGAAATAAGAGTGATAAACTCATTACTTCTGAATATAAATAATTTTTTGAGGTATTAGAGATTAAACCCAGGGAGTCCTGAGCTATATCTGCAGCCCTTTTTGTTTGTTCAGCAATTTTTTTTAAGTTTTGAGACAGACTCTTGCTAAGTTGACCAGGTTGGCCTCAAACGTACGTTTATTTGTTTGTGACAGGGTCTCACTGTGATCCGGCTGGCCTCAAATTTATTTCCTTCGCTTTCCTTGGCCTTGCACGTGCCACTATGCCTAACTTATAAATAATAGTTTTAATGAAAAACAACTATATTGTTCCCAAAATATTAATAGGAAAGGTGGCCTCATTTTACATCTTAGCAAATCTCTTCCAGGTCTGGCTTAATAATAAGCCCTAGACTCTCATTTCTGCGTTAGCATCCATAACAGTTGTGCTGTTTTGGCTGGTGTATGTGAAGAAGATCCGGCCTTACCCAGATACACAAGTAGAGCAGGGAGGAATATTTTAATTGCAGATTCAGACAATTGTAGAGACTCTTTTGATATAACAGAACTTCATAAGAGGCAGTTTCTTAGGGTCAGTCACAACATGGTATCTAAAACTATGTTAATGAACTGTTATACTTTGTTACATTAAAATCCATTAGCCTCTCTTGCCCTTTGATGGGCTATTTTACTCATATATGATTTTGTAAAATCAACCATTGTTTCATTTTGAAAATGTTCTGTAAATTGTGCACATCTTGCAGGCGGTGACATTGGAAATGTCATTATCCAATACTAAAAAAAAATCATGCCGGGCATGGTGGCACATGCCTTTAATCCCAGCACTTGGGAGGCTGAAACAGGAGGATCACTACCAGTTTGAGGTCAACCTGGGCTACGTAGTAAGTTCAAGGCCAGCCTGAGCTGCATAGCGAGACCCCGTCTCAAAAAAAAAAGACATTCAGGGTAATGGAAACATTTTTCATTTGCTTTCACTTGAAAGCTTAAGCATTACATTGGTAACAAATAACTCAAATAACTGTCAGTTGTTTCCTTGAAGTCACAAGTTCATTTTTTTTTGGTTTTGGTTTTTCTCCGGTACCGGGAACCGAACTCACGACCTTGCGCTTGCCAGGCAGGTGCTTTTGCCGCTGAGCTAAATCCCCAGCCCTGAAGTCACAAGTTCAGTTCATTCATCTCTGCGAAAATAGGTGCTAAATACCCAAGTCTGAATAACTATAATTTGTCTATTGTTGTTCATTCAAATGAAAATGACAATTTAAACAAAATGTAGTTAGTTCATCTGGCAACTCAAGTAATCATGCGAGTGTTTTCTGGGATCAGCTATCTTGGCTTCTAGCGGAAGTGTTTTAAGTGTGAATTCCATTGTCTCGCAGGGCACAGTATGGAAAAGATGAGTACTCATGGGCTGAGATTTAATAACATTTTTATTTACTGCTTCATCAGGACATTCTTCAGTGAAAACGATTTCTTTGTTTGCTGATTTTTACTGTACGTGGCAGTAAAAAATACAGTAGCCGCTAGTACAGTTTGGCACCGTGGCCTTGATTCAGGCTGCAAGTAGTGAGGCCACAAGCAGCTAGACTCCATAACAGTTGTGCTCTTTCGGCTGCTGTGTATGAAGAAGATGCGGCCTTACCCAGATGTGCAAGTGGGTTTGCCTCCTCAGTACAAATGTCAACGTGGTGAAAAAGTCTTAGACATCTGATGAGCGTAGTTTGTCTTTGTAGACCCCTCCTACTCGCAGGATCTGTGGTACATATTTTGGGACACACAGGCTACCGATCATTTTGAAGGAGTCTGATTTATTGCTGCCACCCCCTCCATACTGGTAATTAAACCCAGATTCTACATATTGAGCCTATATCCCCAGCCCTTTTTAATTTTCTTTTCTTTTTTTTTTTTTTTGTATATTGAGACAGGATCTTGCTAGGTTGCTGAGTTCCTCAGCCTGGGCTGGAACTTGTGAGCCTCCTGCCTCAGTCTTCCATAGAGCTAGGATTACAGAGTATGCCAACACACCCAGCTTTTATTACCTCTAATTATGTATCATCTCTGCACACTTAGAATAATATTATTATAACCCTATGGAGGAATCTGCCCATTTTCACAACAGAAGCATTTACTCTTAAGAAAGTATTTACCCTGAGATTATGTTTAACCTTCAGAGAATCCTGTTGGTGGCGCACGCCTGTAATCCCAGCATTAAGGAGGCCGAGGCAGGAGGATCTTTGCAAGTTTGAGGCCAGCCTGGGCTACAAAGTGAGCGCAAGTTCAGCCTGAACTGCATAGCAAGACCCTGTTTCAAAAAGACAAAAAACAAAACAAAACAAGGAATCCTGTTTCCCATTCCAGTGTTTAGAAGTTTGATTTTCACATAATTCTTACAAGCACATATCTTTTGGTTAAAATGAATCATGCTTTAATGAATCATGATTCTAGCCAACTAGGTAAGCCAAGCTCATCCTTATTAGAAAGGCGTTGATTTCCTAAACTCACATAAGCTTAAACGTCTCACAAGTAGCCCCAAACTAGACTGCAATTTGGCTTATTCTACAGATCATCTTAACTTTTCATATTCTCATAACCCTTTGGTTTTGACTTTGAGCAGTTGGTGCAGGATGTGTAATGCTTTTAGGTTGGGGGGCTTTATAGCCCTGAATTTGAGTCTCAGCTATGTACTGTGACCTTTCAAGGCTCAGTTTTCCTGTCAGCGAAATGAGATGATGAGGCCTGCCTTGTTTTTGTGGATTTAACAAGACAATCCGTGAAAGCCGTTAGCAGCCTGGCTGGTATACAAGAAAGTGCTCCTAATGGTAGCTGATGGTGTCATTATTTGCAAATGGATAGACTTCAAACTGCTGACAGAGTTACTTCCGATGAAGCTCTCCAACAAATAATAACTCTGTATAGACAAAACCCAGTGTTTGACATTTATTATTTACGTGAAGGTAATTGGCAGTGCAGTTGTCCTCCATCCATGAAAGTTTGTTCATCTTTGCTTTAAAGTCAAATTTTTCCTAGTGAGGTAGTTTAGGAAAACCTCTCAGGTTTGGGGGAACATAATAATTAGGCAAAAGTTCACATCAGTGTAACAAGGAAGGATTTTAAAGTTGTTCGTTTGCTTTTGCTCCCGTTAGAGCAAATGTTCCACATATCCCCTGCTTATACTGTTCATTTGCTCAGCAAATTTTCCCAAAGAAGTAATAATGCCAAGATGAAATTTAGCCACACTTGTCCAAATAATCCCAAACTGCAAAACAGGCAGTCATTTAATTAGTAAGGTTTTGCTGAAAGTACACTGTCAGCGCATCTGGTGTCTTCTGTCCTTGTGCGATATTTACCTGGGCTCCTAGTTTGTCTGTTTCTCTTACCATTCAAAATAAACCAAGCCGGGTGTAGTGGCGCATGCCTGTGATCCCAGCACTCGGTAGGCTGAGGCAGGAGGATCATCGCAGTTTGAGACCAGCCTGGGCTACAAAGAGAGCTCAAGGCCAGCCTGAACTGCATAGCAAGACCCTGTATCAAAAAGACAAAAAAATAAATAAATAAAATAAAAATAAACCAAGCAAAAGCTAAGAAGAGAATAAAAGTCAGACAAAGCACACATTCAGCAGGCAAAATAGATATGTACACCCTAAGGCAGTGATGGCGAATCTTCTAGAGCTTTCGATGATAATGAATTGTTGTGGCGTGTGTGCCATGGGTTCACCACCCCTGCCCGACCGTCTCTGTGTCTGTTTTTTTGCCATGTCCCCCCTTTTTTGAGACTGGGTCTCACTTTATAGTCTAGACTGGTGTTGAACTCATTTTGTAGCCCAGGTTGGCCTTGAAATTGGGGGATCCTCCTGTCTCTGCCTCTGAAGTACTAGATTACAGATGCAGGCTGCCACACGCAGCTCGCTCTGTTTTCTTTGCGTCCTTCCTGCCATCTGATCCATTTCACTGTTTTCAGCATCCTTTGCATCCTATCACTTTAGCTTACAGGAATTTGGCACACTGTGTTTTGCTTATTTTTCCTTACGGCATTTATTCAGTGATTCAATAACATATCACCGCATTCTGTGGGATCCAGAGATCCCACAATAAGGTCAAATCCTGCTGGAGGGTATATGGGAATCCTTTCATTAGTCTCAGAACTGTTCTGGGGCTGGGAGTGTATCTCAGTGGTAGAGCACTTGCCTGGCATCTGTAATGCACTGGGTTTGATTCCCAGCACTGGCGGAGAAAAGAACTTTTTTGTAGAATTAAATTTATTTAAAGATATAAATTTAAAAATGTAATTTTAAAAAAGGAAAGAAACTGGGATAGGGGAAAGAAGGAAGGAAAAAGCGAATATATATATGTGTATATATATAAAGAGAGAGAGAGATACACACAAGATAGTTAAGATAGTTGTATTATTAATTTCTCTTAGTTCATTGAAAAGAAAGGTTTGTGCTAATATTGTTTGGACAATTTAATGCCTGTATCTTGTGCTCTGGGTAACTAAAGATGACAATACTCAATGTATTAACCATTGTTACTCTCCTATTACCTTGTTTTGAAATCTTACTTTTTTCTCTTTAAAATAAAATTTTAAAAATAAATAAATATTTCATTAAAACATAAATACATGGTCGAGGATGTAAAAGTTGAATTTTTCTGCCAGGGGCCGCCAAATAAAGATTTCATGGCTGAATCATTGCCCGGGCATGTTTCCTTGGCCCATAATGTCTTGTTTTTTCAACATTTGAATCAGTTGTCAACATTGAAAAGTTGGCAGATTTCTCACAAATGTCTAATTGTGGTACAGTCTTGAAAATATCAATGAAGTCTTCTAACGCCAACTCAGAATTCTGCTTGGGAATAACTCCCTCGCCGTGGGAGACAAGGGGAGCGTACCCCATGTGGAGGGAGGTGCTCTTTCCAGGGCCAGCGCTCCTACCTTCCTGGCTTTCCTTTTGCTACTTGCCTGAGCCCTGGATATCTAAAGGTAGAATGTTACCCTGGTATTAACTAGGCAGTTTTGACAACCCCCATGGACTCCGTGATCTTTGATGCTGTGCAGTACTTTTTTTAAAAAAGGAAGATACTCTTTGCCCTAAAGGACCTCTTGGGTCTGGTAAGAAAGTCAAACAGAAAACGTAACTACACTCCAACGTGGAAGTGCCAGGAAGATCACGTTTGTAAAGGTCATCCGTTTCCCAGAGCACTCAGGCCCTCTGTCTGCCGCAGTAAATAAAGTTTTATTGGAACACGCCTTTGCCTGTTTGGATCCATGTGGGGTATGGCCACTTTCATGCGACAGTGGCAGAGTTGGATAGATGTGTCAGGCCATATGGCTCACACGGCCAAAAATACTTCCTGTCGGGCCCTTTCCAGGTAGTTGTGCCAACTGCTGCCATAGAAGATGGGAGGTAATTCACAACACAGCTCAATGGGACACTGAGATTGTGTCTGCGCCACATGGCTAGAAGGTAGCAGAGCCAGGATGGAAGCCAACCGAGCCTGCGCCCAGTAGTGTGACGTCAAAGACACATCTCAAGCCTGTCCCCGCCAGTAAGTGGCCAGGTTCTCACACCTGCAGTTACCTGCCATTGGGCTGGTGGAAGGACTAGTGCAAAAGACCTCACTGTAGAGCTAGACAGGCACTCTGCATGGAGGGTAGCTACCTTCCAGGCTGTAGGTAAGGGCTTATACTGAGAATGGGGTTGGTTGGAAGGAGGAGCTGGAAGAATTCTTTGCATAAGAATAAGGTGTGGCGCAGCTGTCCTGGGGGTTCTGAACAGCCTGGCCCTTGCAGCCTTAACCATTGCCTTGTGGATGTGTCAGTTTCCATGGGGAGTTCTTCTGGGCAAGGAGTCCCCCACCCTGCCTCATCTCCAGGCACTTACCCAACTCCTGCCGGAGGCTTTATACCGTGCTGTGCTGGGTCTGTAGATGTGTTTTTCCATCTTCAAAACAGTGACTGCACATAAAAGCCTGGATTTTTCAGTCTCCTGATAGAAGAGGTGTTTTCATGGCCATGCCCTTGAGCTTGGACATATGCTGATGGTTTGACTCCTGCACAAGACATGTCAGTGATCCCACCTTCCCCTCATACCATGTTCTTTCTTTCCCCCTCCTGCCTGGCCCAGGCTGTGTTCCCTATCAGCTGTGGCCTTTTAACTCACTTCTGCCCTCTCAGTCGCAGGGACAGGCACTGCCTGGGGCATGAACTTCCCGTGGCAGGTTCCCAGGCATCCTGCTGCATCGAATATTTGGGGGACTCCGCGCCTTTCTCCCTCTTTGAAGGGAGAAACCCCTTTTGTTCCTTTGTACGTCCAAGACCTGGCACATGAATGTTTGCTGGGTTGACACTGTAACCAGGAAAGAGACAACCATTTTGTCCTCCAGTGAGTTGCTGGCCAGGCTCCAAAAACCAGAGAAAATGCTTCAAGCCAAGCCTCCAGGCCACGCTCCTAGAGACCGGGCTGGTCCTTTTTCTCCAGTGGGCACTGCGATTTGCCCAGCTGCCCTTTGGAATAAGTCAGCCCGGTTCTGATAATGCCTAACCCCAGCTGCCTTTTCAGCTGGCCGTCCTGCTCCCCTGCGCCATTTCCTATCCCAGCAAGGTCACTCCTCTTTCCCGCCCTGCTCTGGAGCCCACCCTGACTACCCCTGGCTGATGGACTCCACCTTAACATATCCTTCGGAGATAGCTGAGTTATGGCAGCATCTGGCAGGAAGTTGGAATACCACAGATACCTGCTCACCTACAGGGGCCACCGCACTTTGCTAACTGCCTTTACAATGCACTGTTGATTTTCTCAACCAAAGAAAACAGTGCCAGGTGTGGTGGTACATGCCTGTAATCCAAGCACTCAGGAGGATCACTGGGTTTAAAACCAGCCTGGGCTGCATAGTAAGTTCAAGGCCAGCTTGAAATACATAGTGAGACCCTGTCTGGAAGGAAGAGAGGAAGGAACGAAGGAAGAGAAAGAAAGCGAGAAAGAAAGAAAACAGTCCTAAACTATTTAGACAGATTTTATGAACTCACCTAAAATCACAGACGGTTAGAGCTGGAAGGAACTTGACAGATCCAGTCCAGAATCACGTTTTGGAGACCCAGCCATGTCTCAGAGCCTTGAGGGTCCCATGCAGGGGTCACAGACGTAGAGGGCTGCACGTCCAGGTGATATAAATGACTGTTGTGGCCAAGGTTTATTTCATCGTGTTGTTCGTGGTGACTTCTTTCAACACCTAAATGCTGTACATACTCTGGAATATTCAGTTTCATAAAGAAGTCTGTTATCTACTAATTTCTTGGTGCATGTGGTATCCCTAAATCGGCTATAAAAAAAAACAGTCATTGTATCGCCCTCCCCCCCAGTTGTGAGAATTACCCGCATCTGTAGGTATGAAGCCCTTTGCCCAGGGGGCACACGATCAGTGCATTTGTTAAGTGCAAGCTTCCATAAAGAGGAGGATACTGGTGGTGGTTCTCACTTCTGCTGGACTCACAGACTTCCACTTTCTTTCTTTCTTTTTTTTTGTCTTTTTGAGACAGGGTCTCATTATGCAGTTCAGGCTGGTCTTGAGCTCACTTTGTAGCCCAGGCTGGTCTCGAACTCGCAACGATCCTCCTGCCTCAGCCTCCCGAGTGCTAGGATTATAGGCGTGCACCACCATGCCCGGCTACAGACCTTCACTTTCATCCTCGCTGTAGGGAAAACTTTTCGAGACCTGGTGAAAAAATGGCACTTTGGACTTGACCTCAGAGGCAGAGACAGCCAGCGAAGGCGGGGGTGGGAATCGGAGGGCACTGTGCCATCTGGCAGGCTGCTGCCCTCAGCTCCTGACAGCATTGCCAGGCAGGAATAGAAGCCCTGCAGTTCCAGATCTTTCCATTTTTCACAAGAATCCAGAACTCGGGATTTTAAAATGTGAAATCTCCCAAGCTTTAACTGTTGGCTGAAAAAACTTTTTTTTTTTTTTAGCAGTATAGAGTCTAATCAAACATCTGCGCTCTTGTTCATCCTCAAGGAGCTGTGATCACTGAAGGCTGAGGCACAGGGCGTTGAGCACGGGCTGTTGGGCCGCCCAAGTACAGGGGAGCCACACCCACATCTGTTCCAGTGCAGTGCTCCCACCCGCTTTGGCCCCAGGTCCCCGTGTACATGGACCCCGTGCAGGCCAAAGGTCTGCCTCTTACCACCTTTGAGACAAGATTTCTTTATTTTTTTTGCCTTTTTGAGACAGGGTCTCACTCTGCAGTGCAGGCTGGACTTGAGCTCACTTTGTAGCCCAGGCTGGCCTCAAACCCTCAATGATCCTCCTGCCTCAGCCTCCCGAGTGCTGGGATTACAGGTGTGCACCACCACGCCTGGCCAAGATTTCATTTTAAATCAGGCATGGTGGTGCACACCTGTAATCCCGGCACTCGCAGAACCGTAAGAGGACTGCAAGTTAGAGCGCAGCCTGGGGAATTGAGCAACCTAAACAACCTAGCAGGCCCCTGTCTCAAATAAAGGCTAGGGATGTACCTCACTGTGAAGGCCTTGAGTTCAATTCCCAGTACTGAAGGGGAAAAAAAAATAAAATTGCATTGGAAATCTGAGAAGGAGGCCACGAAAAACCAGGACAAAGGATCGGACTTTCCCTTTCTTCTCTTTATGGCACTACCACACTGCCTGATTCCACAGAGGTGCAGAAGTGGGTCAGAGATGCAGAGTGGGCTGGGAGGTGATGTGCAGATTCTGACTCTTAGCACCTACTGTATGACTGGGGTGGGGGGCATCAGCTTCTCCATCTCCCAGTCCTAGACCCTTCCCTTGTGAAATAGGAATTAGTAAGAGGACCTTTTTATTGGGCTGCTGTGAAAATCAAATGGATTTGTCCTGGCCCTCAGCAGGCGCTGAGTGAAAATGGGCTGTGTGGGGAAGTAACACATCCTTTCCTTAGCATTCTGAAGCATCTCATGCGCTATTTCCCAGTCTTCAAGGCTGTTCGGCCGATCATTTCTGGCGTGCAGGTACTCAAGAGGCACGTTCATTTGGGTCAGCACACACCCTCACACATGCGGAGTCCTCCTTGTGTTCCAGGGGAGCTGGGCTGGGGAGAGGCGTGGGCGCAGACTAAGGGGCTTGTGTGATGGATGCAGTGCCGGACCAAAATCCATTTCAGCCTGGAAAGTGTGTTGTCACATAAGCTGCTGATTAGATTACAAAAGCGTGGCATTTACTTATCTTTACTATTTCAAATGGAAAGAAATCGATATTTTCCAATTATCTCCAATGGAGTAGCAAACTTACTATGTCGTATTTTGGTGCAGCAGCTCAGAAAGAGCAAAGGAAAGGGTAGGGAAAGCACGTTGCAGGAGAAGATGAAGTCTTTACTGCCGCTTGCATGCCTTCCGGCAGCATCCATTCAGAAATTCAGTCGTTCACTTGGGTCAGTTCCACAAATATCTGCTCAAGCCTACCCTAGTTCAGGCCACGCTGCAGGTGTGGGGAATTCAGTGATAATAAAGCCATCCTGCAGCCTCTGATTTCACAGACCTGGGGGTTAGTGGGGCAGACAGACATTAATAGGAAAGGATCAGATGGTTAAATAAAGTACAGAAGGCTGGAGGAGGTAGGTCCCTTTGAGCTGAGCTCTGCTTGATCAGGAGGAACCTGTGTAGGACAGAGACTGGGAATGCCCCCAGGAAGAGGGAAAGAAGGCCAAGGCTTTGAGACGGGGATCCAGGAGGCCTGAGGAAAATGGGAAGATCGCAGACGTGTGAGCTTGGGCGGAGAGGGGCCCCAGGATGTCAGGCTGGAGGTCTCTACTGGGCATAGGGGTAGACATTAGAGAATCCAGCAAGCGAGTGACGTGGTCTCATTTTTATTTCCTGCCTCGGAAAAATCTGAACCACAACAAGGGCCTGGACACCTATTAGGTGGCTATGAGAAAAGTCCAAGGAGGGAGGCCAGGGCTTGGAGAGGTGTAACGGAGGAAGGGACAGATTCAGGATGTACCTGGGAGCCGGGTTCAGCAGAACTCCCTGAAATCCCTGAGCAGTCAGCAGATCTGGGGGCGGGAACCAATAACTACCTGTACTGTGCAGTCCTAAGCGCTTTGCGTGTCTTTTCTTAACCCTGACAGTAGACTTAAGTGAAGTTGAGACTAGTAGGGCTTCCAGACATGCGTGGCTGAGCCAGACAGGCTGTGACCCAGCGCCTGCCCCCTCAGCCACTGCAAAGCACAGTCCCCAAGCTCTCGTCTCATTATGAAGCCAGCCAAGGAACACTTGGCTACGCGTTGCTAAACCACGCAAGTGCGAGGAACGGTGTGCAGGTTATAAATAACCATTTCTAGCTGCCAGCTGCTGTTTGGATTTGTACAGGAGAAGGGGATCTTAGCATGACTTGTTTATCTCAGGTAATTTGGCAGTAAACTGGGCCCTGGGAGTTCGAGTTACACACAAAATGCAAAGGAAGAGTGACAGGGATATTGTTTCGGGCTTTCAGAAGGCAGACTGTAACTTAAAGGCCCAGAACCAGCCTGGAGGTCCAAAGCGGAAGGAGGAAAAGGCGCTTTGCAAAGCCAGCCTTTGCCTGGCTCTGGAATCATCCTGGAGATTTCTGCTGTTTTCATGAGATATTCTTAAAGAAGTTCCTCAAAGGGGGTCTGTGGCACGGAGATAAAGAAATATAATTAATTGTCTTAGCTCAGCAAGATGGTACGTGCCTACGGTCCGAGCACTCTGGAAGGCTGAGGCAGGAGGACTGCAATTTCAAGCCTAGCCTAGGAAATTTAGTGACTTGGGGAGGCCTTGTCTCACACTAAAAAATTAAAAAACACTAGGGAACGTCATTCAGTGCAAAGTCCCTGAGTTCAGTGTCTAGTACCAGAAAACAGAAGAAGAAAGCTAGATAGCTGTGCTTTGATAGCTGCAGGAGATTGGCTCCGGGACCCCATGCAAACCCCAAATCCGAGGATCCACTTGTCCCTTTTCTAATTGGTATAGTATTTGCATATACCCTCTGCACACTTGCAGGACCGAATGAATATAGTGTAAATACTAGGAACAGTGGTTATACCGTATTCTTTAGGACGTGATGACTGGTTTCTAACCCGTCTTCACCTTTCTTGTTCATGACTGTGGGAAAATTGCTTTACTTCTCTGAGCCAGCAGCACTGTGGTTGAAGATAGGAAATCCCATAGGCCGCCACCCCTGGAGGACTCGGCCGGAAGCCCCAGTGGCTGAGTCTCAGTGAGCACAAGTGTAACCCACCCCAGCCAAAACCTCCGTTTCCAGACAGCCCATCTGCCAGGTCTGGACTTGCCTTCCCTTTACCCTTTTCTTCTTCCTTTTCCCCCTCTTCTCTTTAGCTATTTCATAAAGTCTTTGCCCTCAAATAAATGAGCAGGTCACCCAGGGGCTATTGTCTTAGCTAAGAAACTGTTGTTTTGATTTCCAGAAACACCGCTTTGTCACTGTTTTAATCTCTCACACAGTGCAGGTTGACCTCTTGGAGGAAGGCATTTTGTCCTCTGAAAATACTGTGTGCTCTTTCAGGCAAGCGTCGGGCTTCTGAATTCATGGCTGCGACTCCCGCTCTCTCTGACAGACTGCCTGCCCCTCTTGGGCCTTGGACAGCAGTCTAAGGCATTTCTCATTGTATTATGCTTTTAAAAATTTAAATCAGGGCCGGGGATATAGCTCAGCAGCACAGCGCCTGCCTGGCAAGCTCAAGGTCCTGAGTTAGATTCCCCTTACCAAAAACAAAACAAAACATAAAATGAAATCAGAGTGCTGGGAAGCCGAGGCAGGAGGGTCCAAGTTCAAGGGCAACTTAAACTGAGCAACTTAGTGATTTAGAGAGACCCTAACTCAGAATAAACAAGTTCAGTGAAGCGGCAGGCCAGGTAGAAGGGGGAAGAAAGCCAAGCTGCAGGGGCCTGGAGACGGGAAAAAGGTGGGGTGTGGATGGCTGGTCCTTGAGCTAAGACAAAGGAGTTACTTCCTCCTTGGGACTCCAGGGGTCCCTCACCGCACCTCTGATTTAGTTCAGAAGCAGAAGACTAAGGATTCAGCCCTCCTTAGGAGAAACGCTTCTTTATCTCAGGTGCCCACTGTAATGTGCTGCATGTCCTTAAACATAGGGTCCGCGCAAAATGTGCAGCGTTTGTGGATTTTGAAAATTTGCTGAAATTACATGGTGCCAAAAACCTTATTTGATTACAAAAAATAAAAGGGCAAAGATGTAGCTCGGTGCAAAGACCCCTGGGTTCAATCTGCAGTACCACAAAATATTAAATCAGCCTTTGGACCCCAAATTTTTGAAGTTGTTTTTTTTTTTTTTTTTTTAATAGGAAATACATGCAAATAAATCACTGAAAAATATAAACAGCCGGGCATGGTGGCATACACCTGTAATCCCAGCACTCAGGAGGCTGAAGCAGGAGGATTGTTGTAAATTTGAGACCAGCCTGGATCTTCCAGGCCCAGTTTCTTCCTCTTTCATTGCCTTTGTCTTTCTAATTGCTTGAGTGGAGCTCTCAAGGCAGGAGCTTCCTTGGAAGGATTCTTCA